TTTGGAAATTTTGTGCATCTGTATATCAAGTTCAACACTTCCTTTGGAATGTTAACAGTTCTGACTCAGACTGATGTATATTTCTATTTCCTCCTCTGAAGTTGGAGACAAAGCTCTGACAAAGAAGAAAACATGGTATCAAATCCTCTCAGTAGTTCTTGACTCTTTCTAAAGTTGAGGAGTCCTGAGTGGTGGAAATGGTGGAACTCAATAGGGGGGAGTTCAGACCAGCCCACTGGACTTTAGGATTTACTTGTATGGGATCCCTTCCTGGGAGACTCTTGGAGGATTAATTAACAGCTGAATTTTAGTTGCTGTTCCAGTTGCTATCTTGGCACCTATCTGAAAATGAGCCTTTCAGATAAGCTATTGCACAAAAAGTGCAAAACGATCTATTAGATACCCCTGGAATGATAAGATCAATCCTTGTAAGTATTCTAAAAGATGAGAGATGTATCACAAATACAGAGCAATCTTCCAGAGCAATTTATGCTACAAAAGTTTTCTTTCTCTTATAAAGCTAAAATAGTAGAGTACAGTTGATGAAGCAGCTGAGCAGACTGCCTTGTTTTTAAATGGAACTGCTATAAAGCAGCAATTCATCCATAAACCCCTTGGAATAATACCAGCCAATCCCAAGTACTGAATGCTTCCTATCAGTCTGAAGAGATGCAACCTCGAAATAAAAATGCTGACTGCTATCTCAACTGCCAAAATTCTTCTTGGTAAGAACTGTATTTATATTAAATTTAGAAGCTGGAATGATACCATTCCTTCTTTGCAGCCTCTGGTAATCTGCAATCCAAGTGAACTATTGAAGAAGGACAGATCTAAGGCACGCAATATGGGAAACTTACCAAATTTGTGACAGCTTGCAAAATTAATTCATAGTAGATTTTTAAATTAATATTGAGGACTCAACCAAGGAAGCATTGTATATATATTCTCTTACCAAATGTTATTACATTCCATCCTTTACCTGTATTAATGAACTGTAGAAAAGCAAAACAAAAACCTGGACAAAATACATTTGGGGAAAAAGTCACTTTAAAATATTGAAATTCAGGAGCTATCCTAAAAAACACAGGTGTGCTTTTGTCCTCCCTACTGCTGATCTAAATGAGGTGTGGTATCTAAGTGGATTTCTGCCCTGAAGAATCAGGAAGGTAAGTGAGGCTACTTCTAGACCCAGTGCTTGGCACAAAAGAAGCAGCAAGCTAAGCAATCAATAGTAAAACCCAGCAGCGAATGCGGGTTTGCAAAAGGTGGCCATGAAAGAGCCCTGGTGGAGCAGTGGTTAGAACGCAGTATTGCAGGCTGACTCTGCCCACAGCCAGGAATTCGTCCTGACTGACTCAAGGTTGACTCAGCCTCCTAGCCTTCAGAGGTCAGTAAAATGAGGAGCCAGATTGTTGGGGGAAACATTGTAAACATCCCAGAGAGTGGTGTAAAGCACTATAAGTCTAGGTACTATTGCAAATTTAGAAGCAGATTTAGCTTGTATTTGGTTGTATTAATACAGTAATACTGAAAAGCTCTTTCAAAGGGGCTTTCAAAAATTCAGCTGTGCAGAATGCTTTTGGAAATAAAACACTGAATACATCACACCAAATCTGTATCAGTTGCTCTAGTACTTGTTTGTTTCAATTTAAGATTCTGGCTCTATTTTGTTTAGGACCAGATTAATTGAGGTTCCATCTATATTCATGTGACAATTACCAGGTCTTAAGATCAACCAAGCTCTGGCCTTTCATTAACATCAACCAAGTTAACAGGTATCACAATAAGATCTGTTCAGTTGTCGCTCTATGTTTGTGGGGAAATGAGGAATTCCTGAATGACTTGAGTTTCCAAATTTTAAATCAATGGCACAGATTGATAAACTGACGGGCTTGGCTCCATGAAGAAATGAAAAAGTAGCATTGACCGATGTCGTTGAGAAATGGCAGCCCTTTATTACAGATTGAATCAATACTGTGACAGGATCCTGTCGCTTAGAATACTTAGTCCTAGGGAAGCCTAATAAGGAGAATAATAAAAATCAAAAATAAGAAAAAAAAGAAGGTAAAGCAGATAAGCCAGGCTAGAATTGGGAGCTTAAGATCAGCCAACTTTGCAGGTTCTACCTTCCACAATAAGACCTTTGAATCTGTGGAGCCGGTCACCACGGTATCATCCTTCTTGTTAGCATGCAAGGCCCATACTTTGTTGTCGTGAGCATCTAAAGTCTTCACACACTCATTATTTTTGATTGTCCAGAGTTTCAGGAGACCATCAGCACCACTTGGGGAAAGAGAAGCAAGAATGACCTGAGGCATTTACAATTTGGCATCACCTCCCATCTTTGGAAAGGAAAATGCACTCAAGATGGTTTACTTGTGAAAAAGTCAGAATTAAAATAATGGGGGGGGGGGGGGGGGGGGGGAACCCAGCAAGAACAGAAGAGGAAAAAAACCAAACAGAAGTAAAACTATCCTCAAATCTACTGTATGTCAAAATAAGAATACTTATAACAGGAGCAGTGAGGAAGCCAGGCTGTGGCCATGGCCATGAAATTTCCCATGGCTGGTGGGTGGGTGGGGACTTCCCTCCTGAACAAACAGAATTCTGCATTTAAAATCTGGAATTCTGTATTTGTCAGTAATGTTCTTTCTTGTAGAAGAGAGGCAGACAAACAGGCAGTGTGGGAATTTGAGGCCAGACACCGATTTTGAATGAGGGGTGGTTTCTCCCCACTTCACCCAAAAAGTTTGTCAAGGAAAGGAGAAATCCTAAATGGGATTCCAAACTCAGTTCAGTAAAGATAAATTGGAATAGAATCAATCAAAGAGGAAAAAAATCCATACTGATCTTGTGACCAGCAGAAAGTGATTGCCAATGTCCTCTCCTTTTCCTCAGAAAACCTCATCCCACAACAAAGAGCCAGAGGAAAGCCCAACCCTGTTTTATCCCATATGCTAACTGTCTGAATGGAGGAATCCGAGGAGAGGGACCTGTGTGCCGATCACTGACCCCACTTTATCTTATTTGGGGCTGTGGATCAGGCCTGCATCTCTGCCCTCCCTCCCAGGCAACTCTTTCCTAGAAAGCAGCCTTCAGGAAGTCCTATCACGTGAAGTGAAACTGCTTGCCCAGTCAGGACACGTAAGAAACCACGTAAAGCCTTGTTCCCAGGTACCATGGTTTTGGAAGGGGGTCAATTATGTGCCATTCTTCTGTTTATCTGTCTTGGACTTGTTCTGCAAGTTACAGTTTAGAAGGGCTGTTTCTTTCAACTGCTACGTTTAGACGGGGGCAGAAACAGGGAATAAGATTCCTGTGCCTGGTGGAATAAGGGACTAAATATATTTTTTTTACTAGCCAAGACATGAAGAAATATTTTGCCTATCTTTACCTACAGGTAACATTTTTTTATTTCTCTTATCAGAACACAGGAAATACCTTTGACAACGCAGATTAAGCACCCTGGCCAGCAGCAGCTCTCCAAGCCAGAGTTTTACTAGCCCTCCTTGGAGACGTTGCAAGTTCTGCCACATCAGCCTCAGCAAACAATCTCTTTTTCTGGTGGCCATACCTGCTAAGCACCTGTCCTCCTTCGCTCACGAAGATGACCTTCAACACAGAGGCATCATGACCTTCAAAAGTCTGATGAGGGAAGGAAAGATGAGAGGTGAGCATGAATACTGAGGACAGTCTAATTCCTTCAGGCACCTAAATAACTGCACAGGTCAGAGAAACAGTAAGGAAAAATACTGTAAAATGTTACTTCCATACAAAACAAGATCTGTTATTCCAATCAAATCCAAACAAGGTTGTTAGCTTTCATAACCAAAATATATCTACAGGAAGACTTTGTGTAACAACTGCCCTGTTTAGCAACCTTTCAAAGTTATGCTAGCACTAAAAGAGTAACTTTATGGCCAGTCCTTGCACTTGCAACTGTCGCAGTGTCACGTGGTCATGTGCTCACTATTTGCGCACTTCACAACTGGCTTCTGACAAGCGGAATCAATGCTGTCTTAGCTTGTAAAATTGCAAATCACAGTCACGTGTTTAATGACCTGCAATGCCCAGTTAGAACAGTTTTCTAGTGCTATTTTTTTCTTTTAAAATGTCTACTTCTATTATTATTTACAAGACACAACCATTTAATAAAAATGGTGCTTTGTTCATTTTTGAAACAGTCTTATTCAATAATGAACTATTTAGCGTTCCATAATTTTGAATATCTTTTTTCTGCAGAGTTCTTTTTTTCTTGCTTGCTCCTATAATAAATAAATTCCAACTTCTCTCAGAGCAAGTTTCTAACTTCTTGTAGATTATTCCACCCACCCTGGTCAAGTGCATTTTTTATTTCTCTACTAGCTGGAAATGCATTAAGGTAAGCTGCTAAATGTTTTGTCCACAACTATACTGGCAGAATATTCATGAACTGGCAGACACGGTTAACAAGGTCAGCCAATGGGACCTGTATTGGGGGCTGAGACTGGGAGAGAGTCGGGGCGTGGCTTAGCTCCCTGTTCTCAGTTCTAAAAGAGAAACTGAAACTTACTTGCTTGCCTGCTGAACTAAAGTGAAACTATTTTTCTTCTCTGCTTGTGTTTTGCCTGTAACTTTCTACAAGTTGGAAGAATGTACTATTGGTATTGTAAACTTTACTTAATATGTTATTATGTATATAAAGAAGTTAATGAATCCTGCTGAATCAGTCATCTGTGTTTTTTGGATTTGAATTTCTGCTGCAAAATCTGACATATACCTTCAGACAGCTAAAGTCCTGCAGATCCCAGATTTTCACAGTCCCATCTGCTGAAGAGGTGGCCAAGACCTGGTCTACTGGGGAGAACTGCACACACCAGATGCCACGTTTGTGTCCAGAGAAGACTCCGAGTAGCACACAATTTTCACAGTTCCACAGCTTGGCTGTCTTGTCCTGGGAACCTGTGGCGACTAGCTTGTCATTTGGAGACACTGCCACACTATTAACGTCCTAAACATGAAGAGAGAACAGTGGTGTATCAAGTTATAGGAAGGTTTATTATGGCGCACATTGCTACGTTCTGCCCTGCCGCATGGAAGATCCCTGGAACTTCGACAGCTCAAACTCCTCTTAGGTAGGTGTGTTTCACATCACTTCAAGTCTATTTTATGAAATCTGCAATTATCTCATTTATCTAATCTAGTGGTTAAAGGCACCAGGCTGGAAGTGGGAAACTGTAAGTTCTTAGATATGAAAGCTGACTGGGTGACTCTGGGCCAGTCACTCTCTCTCAGCTTAACCCACCTCACAGGGTTGTTGCTGTGTGAAAAGGTAAACATAATAAAAGTAGGATAAAAAATATCTAATAGTAATTAATTAATTAATTAATAAATAACTTACAGCCAAGACATAGATTGCTTTTCTTTTATTATGAATCCAGTCAGGCTGCTTTATAAGATATGCATATCTCTCCCCCCCCCCCCCCCCCCCCCGTGTGTGTGCGTGTGTGAAGTTACAGACTACTTAACATCATATTTATGATCTGAAGCAACAATGAAGCTTGAGGGATTGTTATAGGAAAGGAAAACAGTAAAACAAGAATTTAAAGCTTTAAAGAACCATTCCAAAATCAGTATTTTTGGCTATCCATATGAAAAAGCAAATAGGTTAAAAACACTTTTCCTTTTTCCTTTTAGCTTTTTAAAATCTCTCTGGCCTAGTGTGATCTGAATGGTAACCACATTTTGACTGAGTACTTCTATTAATATAATCTAATTTCTAGACCACAAACCAAAGGGTGTTATAGGCTCAGCTGCCTCCTGCTCCTGCTGTTCATTTTAGGGATATAACTGTGGTAAGCATGATATCAATATTTATTCCCACCAATTTTACAAAGATTTGAAATTATATTTCCTACTGTTAAACCATAGGGGGGGGAATGTCTTTATTTCATCAACAGATTTACAGTATTTTTCGGAGTATAAGATGCACCAGGCTATAAGACACACCTTGGTTTAGAGGAGGAAAACAAAAAATAGTTTTTTGCCTCCGTGCATCCCATTTTTGCCCTCCCTGGCGTCCAGAGGCACTCTGCAGGCCAAAAAAAGTGCCCTTTTTTGGGCTCCGGTGGTCCCATTTTTGCCCTCCGGGACCCACAGACACTTCTGGAGGCCAAAAATGGGCACTTTTTGGCCTGCAGAGTGCTTCTGGACACTGTGGAGGGCAAAAACAGGACATGTGGAGGCTTTGGGAGGCCAAAAATAGGCCTCTATTCGCTGTATAAGATGCACAGACATTTCCACCCACTTTCGGGGAGGGGGAGGAGTGTGTCTTATACTCCAAAAAATATGGTACTTTTGTTAAAAAACACAGAACATTTAATGCTAAAATACAGAAATTCTGGTCTGAAACCAAGCACGACCAGTGTTAAAATGCATGCACACATAATACTCTCTTCAAATTAAGGATGGAAAACGGATGGGAAGATTCAGGTAGAAAAGGGTAGAGGTGACAGATATTGGCATACTCTTGATTATAGTCAGGAAATGAAGCATAGAGTGATCTATATAGGGATCTGTTCATTGCTCATCCTGAACCTGACATTCTCCAGATCCAGAAACATCACAGGTTGCCTTTGGTGAGGCCCTCTGACTAGATTCTGCAGAGCATAGAAATGTCCTTCCACTCCACTCTATTTGCTTTTGTAATCGGCATCTGCATTGGAGAGGCAGTTTGGTGTAATGGTTAAGGCACCAGATTAAAAACCAGGAGCCTGTAAGTTCTAGTCCTGCCTTAGGCACAAAGCCAACTGAGTGACCTTGGACCAGTCAGTATCTCTCAGCCCAAGGAAGGAAGGAGGCGATAGCAAATCATGGCAGAAATGCGTTCAAAAACCTGCAGGGACTTGTCCAGGCAGTGGCCAGAGTCCAGTCTGACTTGAAGGCGCATACACACACTTATACACACATAAAAACCACACACCCCAGCATCCACCTCCAATCCCCAGCTTTTCAGATCTTCTGAATGTATTACCTTATCGTGTGCCACTTCTGTTTGTCTGGCTTGTAACACCACTATCTGGTTCTCTTTTTCATTGATGGTAGGAAATTTAGGAAGAAGCCACACTTTCATTGTGCGATCTTGGCTGGCTGTGATCAGAAAATTCTCTTTTGTTCTGGAAAAAAAGACAAACCGGGTAGAAAAAGAGCGATATAGATGGTGATTATCATTATTATTGTTGTTTTCATAACTGCTTTTCCTCTCTGGGAAGTTGATGTTAAAAATGAGGCAAGGTAAATGCATTAAAACATCCAACACTCATATGATTAGGACTGAATATTGCCAAGATGATTAAATGCCAAATTGAAGGGTGGGCATAAGGCTCTCTTGGAGCCCTCTAAAGAGAACATTTAGTGGCAGCAATGCCTACGCTGGAGGTTTAGAGCACTGCTTGTCAACTATGACAAGTTCCAGGGACAAAGTCCAGCTTCCCAGGATGACCAACTGCCAAAATTCTCAGCAATAAGTCCGCCTTCCAAAATTTGCCATTCTCAAGGTTGTCAACATTCCTCCAAGGCCCCAGAGGTTATCATCTTACTCAACCGAAGGTGCTTGGATGCTGGCTGTCACTCTCCCTCTTTTGTGCAGGTAGATTTCATAAGAAGAGTTACATTTACCCGTTTGGTTGAAGCTGCTGGGAATAATCTCTAGACTAGCATTTCTTACCTTTGCAACTTGAAGATGTGTGGACTCCCAACTCTCAGAATTCTGCAGCCAGCTTTCTGGGTGGAGAATTCTGGGAGTTGAAGTCCATACATAAATTGCCAAGGTTCACAGGATCAGAGCTCTACACTGCAGTGAGAAGCCAGAGCAGGGAAGTTGTTGAGGGCCATAATAGTAGAATTTAGGGAGCACACTGTAAGCATTCTCACAAAATAGCTGCTATTTTATTTTATAGTCCAATTTATACTCTGCCTTTGTTTATTCCAATAATCAAAGAAATGTCCCATCTGGAAGGTTGCTCATTACTGCCCCTTCCTGCTCCTCCCTTCTAACCTGGCCTTTTTTTTACCCTTTTAACCTGGCAACTTACCTAGGAAACTGGTATGCTCCAAGTACAGTAAATAGTTACTAATATTTATAGAAATTTAAGCCCCACAAAGGATCCCCTGGAGTAGTGGAGACTTTTACTTTTACAGGGGGAGCCTGTTCCCAGTGCGTTCTTGCACAGAGCTGCCAGAAGGCAAGAGCAGCTAAGACAGAAGGGGCGATTTGGGAGTAAGGCTTGGAGGTGATTGGCCCTCCCATAAGACATAAAGGAGGAGCAAAGGGACACGAGCCTTTGCAGGAAGCAACTTTGTTCATTCTGGTCAGTTTAAACTCTGAAGCTCCGTGTTGACTTTGTGCTCAGTTTGGCCTTGTACAGCTAATTGGCAATTTAGTCATGGGCGGCATTTCAAGGGAGATAAAGGAGTGTGCTTAGTAAAAAAGTTTTTTACTGATATGTTTGTGTCTTAATTTGTCTTTTAGTCAATGGGTGCCAGGTCCCCTGTAGTAGCTGTTTTGTGACAGCAATGTTGACTGTACCTATATTACACACATATTCTAAATATGGATACAAAACCGATCCCTCATCTACAGGGTCGTTCCAAGAGGAGAGAGATACATTTAGTAGAAACAAGTTTTTACAGATACTCCTCAAATTACCACCATTTTATTTAGTGACCGTTCAAAGTCATAGCAGCACTGAAACAAGTGATCTATGAGTGTTTTCCACACTTGCAACCATTGCACCTCATGGCCATGGGATCAAGTGGCGCCTGGCATGTGTCGATGGCTGTTGCCCTGTCTTGGGGTCATCCTCTTCCCACAAGCCAAGTCAATGGGGGAAGCCAGATTGGCTCCATGACCATGTGATTCACTAAACAACTGTGGCATAAAAGGTCATAAAATGGGGCAAAGCTCACTTAACTGCCTTGCTTAATAACAGAAATGTTGGGCTCAATTATGGTTACAAGTCAAGGACTACCTGTACTGTAGGTGAAAAACTTTAGAAAAAAACCACTATAGGCTAAACTCCTCTCATCACGGAGCATTGGAGAGCCTGCAGATGATTGGGAAGAGAAAAGGCAAAACTGGCTAAATAAACACTAACTCAGGCTTGAAGAAGAGGATGAAGGGAAAACACCTCCAGCTAGCCTGACTGTTGGTACAAGGGACTGAGGGAAAGCGTACCAGGCGCTGAAGGTCCGGCCAGCTGAGTCCAGGGCTTTCCTGCCAATATGCTGGGCCTGGAAGTGAGGCCTTCTGGAAGGGTTGGAAGATCTGGCTCTGCCACTCGCTTGGGGCTCACAGAGAAGCGACCAGTGGCTGGGTTGACTGGTGCCTGGCAGGTCCTCCCTTCCTCCACGACCTGACTTTAAGGGCCTCTTGATGGGCTATATCATTTATATGGTGTCTGTGTTTGAAAGGCACACTGCCCAGAGTCACTCTGAGAGGACTCCTTTCCAAATAACACACACACACACACACAGAGACTACACTGTACTACAACAGGCAGTTCTTCTGGTGTTTGTTTCCTGACTTCGGCACTGGAAGGCTGACGTGAATTAAACATGCCTGGCTGGAACCCTGACCAAATAAATACATCCCACGGTGTAACTTATTGTCCCTGACAAGAAATTCTGTCCCTCCAGATTTTAAAAAAATAGCTCTGGAAGCATTGCTATGTATTGATAATTGAAATTTCCTCCCCATGACCTGTCAAAATAGGGACACATTTTAGACTTCAAAAGGAAGCCACACAAAGAATTTGAAAAATGTTCCAGCCTTATGCATTATCTTTGTCCTGGCATCAGCTCAAAATGAAGAAACGTGATCTATTTCTGCCTTGAAAAACCCCCAGATTGTGATAAGAAGATTTCAGGTGCACAGCACACACCTTGAGAGTAACTGCAGGCCCCGCTTACTCCACCTGGTGCACCTGCTTTCTGCCAAAAATCTCAGAGCTTTCAACGGCTGCTTTCCTGGGCCTTAAGCCGCTCAGAGAAGCAGCTGCATGACTTGCAGTGCAGCAGTTGAAAAGGAGTCACAGTGAGAAGGGCTTCCATAAAGCACCTGTAGCAGAGGGGGCTCCAAGCGCTTTGCCCCCAATGGGGTCAGAGAGGTTCTTCTGGGCTCCCCCAAAGTGGGAGGGAATCATCACCTCCAACACTTGCTCCCCAGCAATTGGTTCGAAAAGGCATGTATGTCACTCCTGAAGAAAATACATAGTACAAAAACCAAGTCCTCCCTGAATTAACAGATTGAGAGTTGGAAGGGACCTTGTAGGGCATCTAGTCCAACCCCCCCACTCAAGCAGGAGACCGTACACCATTCCTGACCGATGGCAGTCCAATCTCTTCTCGAAAGCCTCCAGTGATGAAGCCCCCACAACTTCCGAAGGCAACTTCTCTTCCATGGGTTGATGGTTCTCCCTGTCAGAAAATTCCTCCTTATTTCCAGGTTGAACCTCTCCTTGTTCAGTTTCCATCCATTGTTCCTTGCCTGGCCGTCAATTGCCTTGGAAAATAGCTTGGCCCCCTCCTCCTCTCTGGGGCAGCCCCTCAAATGTTGGAAGACTGTTATCCTGTCTCCCCTGGTCCTTGTCATCACTAGACCAGCCATGCCTAGTACTTGCCTTCTCCAAAATGCCCGGATGAAAGAGCCAAGTCTGTTAGGCCCTGTTCTAGTGGAAGACTCTGTTCTAAGAATCGGGAGTGAAAATATAGAAGTGCCAAAGCTTCTACTCCTACTTTTCTGGCATTTCCAGGGTTCTGAACACGTGATAGTTTGGAATCATGGATGTGTCCCAACCCTCATCAGAGTGTGGAGCAGCCTCTTTGAATTAATAAAACCTGGCCACCTGCCACATGAACTGTGCCCTCAAACCCATCCCAAGGAAAGGAAGGGCTACCAGGTATCCCAGCCATCGTGCACATGGGACTGTCCATAAAAGCAGAGGAGAGAGAGGGAAGACTTCTCTTACTTGGAGCAGGCAAGGGCCCCCACTTGATGGGTGTGGCCCATCCCTTGAGCCACACACAACACCTGGCCATCTTCTGTCATTTGCCAAATCCGGAAGGTCTTATCCTGAAAGCAGAAGAGGTCTTTTGTTTTGTCCTGAATGTCAAAAAAGGCTTGGAAAGATCACGTTGAGGTCCTAACAAGTCATGGAAGAAGTTGCTGACAGCTTGGTAACACAGAAACAATAGCCTCCAATGTACTCTGATTTCCACACCGACATCTCAGTAGTGTTTGCAAGGGAGGAGGAATGGCAAAATGAGTGTCATACCACCACACCACAAAAAACAGAACTTATATACCTTCATCAGCCATTACAATGGAAGTACTAAGCGAAGTCCTTTGTGAGGTGTTGTGACTCTGATGTTATCAGAGCTCTTTTTAGCTGGTGTTTTTACCTCATACGCCTCTTTGACTTTGCATCCTGCAAAGAAACCTCTTTCCCCACTAAACCATCAAAATCAGTAGTGCTCCTCTGCTCCCTTAATTCCCAACCGATTTTCCTTTACGGCACTGAGGAGTACTTGTAGAAATTGCTCCTCTGAACAGCAGGGCCTTGCTGAAATGAGAGGGAAGTCTGAAAATGTGTATCTTCCTCCAGCCTGCCTCGACCAGAGTTGGTCTTTTAAACACAGCTCAGGGGTTACCTACCCTTTACAAAGGTCATTAATACCTTTTGGTTTGCATTTCTTCCACCATACCAACATTTTTCTTTGCTCTCTGAACTCTGTTTATATTACTGTTCAACATCAAGGGAATCTTTTGTACTTATAATCTCCCATAAATAAAGTAAACTAACAAATCCATAGGCATAGGGAAACCCTCGAAAAAAATGAAGGGGTTTATTTCCTGCAGGACCAGTTTGGGCAGGAGAGGGCAGAAGTCTCTCCGGCCACCAGGACGTTCAGATACTCAGGTGGAGGGGGGCAAAGTTTGCAGTGCAACTATTCAAATGCTTTCCAAACAACTTCACTGCCAGAGTATCTCTGTATGCATGTTGCCCTTAATCTAAATCTGTGGCAGGCAAACAGGAAATAGTTTATTTACATATTCTATTATATATTCCTCAACTCCCGAGTTAAACTCTACAAGACAAGATGAAGTGCCATTTCCTTATTTAGTGCATGGCATCTCACACAATAGCAATATATATT